CCACCTCCATTAGCGATCGCTGATTGATTCGATTTCGGTAGCAAATTGCTGGAACATTTGTTGCATGCGGCGAATCTCTTATTTAATCAAATGTGGCACAGCGTCTGTGTGCCTGCGTGTGTGTGCAGCTCTCGCGCTCTAGACTGCGCGTTTGCGTGTGTGTGCGTGTGTGCGAGTGTGTGTTATTTGCTTTGCCTCAATTGACAGAGCGGCAAAAACTAACAAAAGAATTCAATTAAGAAGCGACGCGATGCTCATTTTTTGGCGTAAATTCAATTAATACGCGAAATATACAAAAAAATATAAAATAATAAAAGAAAATATTATGTATAAAGATAAAATTATAGACGCAAGAGGAATAAAAATTGTAATAAGAGTCTTGCGAACACAAAAATGTGCATAAAATCGAATAGAACCAAAAACGAATAAAACTATAATGTAACTAAAATAAACATAAAATGGATCCCAAATGGAAAGAAAAAATAATATAAATAATATTAAAATAAATATATATATATATATAGATATATGTTATAAAATAAATAATAAAGATAGATAATAATGAACGGATAGTTTTGAAATAAAATAAACATATGCTGCTTAAATAATTAAAATAAAATAATAAATAATAAAATAATATATATATGAACGAATAACTAAAAATTGGAATATAAAAAATATGATATAAATAAGAAAAATATTTTGTAAATAAATAAATTGCTAAAATATATAATTTAATTAAAAAGAAAATGTATTTTAAGTGAATAAATTGCATAAATATATATAAAAAAAAATAAAATTAAAATATTAAAAAAATAAATAAAAATGATCAATCAGATTGAATAAATTTGTGGTAATAATTTCAATAGCTAGTCAAAGGCTAAAAACTTGAATTAAGGACTACAAAAAAAAGGAGGAAACAATTATGGCTATAATTATAAATTATTGTTGATTGATAATTAAATAAAATGAAATCTCAATTACAAACAAAATATTTTGCAGTTAAATATTTAAATAATAATAACTATCAATAACTAAAAATTCGTAAAAAATGTGTTAAATGAAATAATAAATCTGCTAATGATTTATCTGATGCGGCTGCTGGTTTGCTTTGTTTTGTTGATGCCGGTCTGAATACCTTAATTGCGTGTGCCACGCCCACAAATAGCTTTGACGCCCATCAATTTGATTTGTGCGTGTAGAATTTTCATTAATTCTACATTTTGGCGCTGTCTTTGGCGATTTGGCTGTTAACATTTGTTTTTTTTTGCTATTTGTTTTCTGTTATTGTTGCATTTACATGCTAAATTATTTTTATTGCTCGCCGTAATTAGCAAATTGTTTTTATCCAGCTGCACAAATGACGTCACAAACGCAAACAAAATATCATTTAATTGTTTAGATATTCATTTTTTCGTGACTGCTTTGCCAAACAAGCGACGAGCTTTGCGAGGGCTGTTTAATAGGAAATGATATTTGGTAACTTATTTTTCATGCGCGATTTGAAAATATATTTTTTTATGCATTAAACATTTTTAATGTATCTTAAATATATATTTTTTAGTATTAAATATTTTTACTGACTTTTGAATATATTTTTGTTCATGCAATAAATATTTTTTAAGATTTCAAAAAAATGGTTGTTCATTAAATATTATTAGATATTTTGAAATAGTTAGTTATATATATTAAACATTTTTATAGATTTTTAAATATATTTTTTATTAAGAGTTCATGGATTACAATTATTTTTACATATTTTTACAATTGAATCTTTATTAATGTCTTTCGAGAGTCTTGAGTATATCCGAGATAAACACAAATAATAAAAATAAATATTTAAAAACCATGAAAATAATTGTAATCATTTTTTTATTTAAAGATTTTTACTACTTATACTTATAATTTGTACGAACTTCCCTCGCATTTGATATAAATGAGAGCCCGCTATACGCAGAAGAGTAGAAAAAGCATTGAAAGAAGGTGAACATAAAAACGTGGGTAAAGCCTGCGGACACACTTAGTTGAGAAGTAGCTGAAGAGCTGAGCCTAAGACGAATGATGTGCGAATTGAATTCGCATAAGCAGAGTATTTTTTCTTTAAAACTTGAAAAAGTAAAAGTACTTTCATTTTTGAAGTTTCTGAAACAAATAAACAACTGAGGCTAAGCAGAAAAGCTCTTGAACTACTTTGTAATCTTTGGCTATCAGTTGAAACGTGTGACTACAGTTCGTATAATTATCTCTGGCACTCAACGCATTCTTAATGGGTTTTAATTGGCTTGTGGCTTTTATTGAAATTTATGACTGCATAAATCGGAAAACTAAATAAAACTCTTATTATTTTATGTATGTTTGCTTCCTCTTTCATTTGAAAACAACATGCTCTTATGCGGCATTGCTACAATATTTGCCAGCAGACAGGAAAAAAACATTAAATCAAATTCCATTTTCTTTGCCATTTCATGTAAATTATTGCCACAATTTACATATCGTGTGTAAATGAGTATGTGTGTGTTTGTGTTTAAAATGTATGAGATTTATACAAATATTTGGCATTTTTATTAGGGGCAGTCAAAATCAGAGCGCCAAAAGTTGATGTATTTATGTTCGGCTCTTTTCTATATCTTTATAGAATGTATGCATAAATAATTATTGCATTAGCCGCAATAGTTTTGACCGTTTCTCGGTGCCCCACACACGAAACGTGACACTTGGCTATCAGATTTTGCACTTGAGCGCTAATAAAAAACACGCAACACTCGAAGGTTGCGGTTGGGGCACGTAAATACAAGTAGTTCGACACAAAGTCATAAGTACGAGACAGTTCCAGTTATTAGCTTACCAGAAAAACCGTTGATCAATCGAACAGTCTGCCAGTTACACTTACCAATCGGTATGTTTTTCATGCGCTAACAACATTATGTATAATAACAGCGCTTGCTATTAACTAATCTACTGTTACTTAACATGTGATGTACATTTTAAAACAAACCAGTACTAGACTTTGTCTGTGAGAAGCAATAAACTTAAATGCATAATATCGGGCCTAAATGCTATTAGAAAGTGTATTCCCGCTTCGTGGGAAACTGGACAACGCTTTTCTTTTACGTTGCAAGCGATCTAATTGATTTTGTTGTGTTTAAAAGTCGCTTTAGCAGCGCTCACATGTATTTATCAGCTTAATTGAGCAACGAGACGCGGCAAAAAAAAAAGAAAAACAAAACTCGGCATTAACACGTTTCGGGCAGTCGCGACAATTAGCGGTTAAATGATGTCAAATGCGATCAACGTTTGTTTGTTTGTTTGCATTTATCAATGGAAACAATGTATATTAGCAGCGTATAACATGAATATAACAGTTAGCATTGCAGCAGGCTGTTAGTTAGCAGCGACAGCGCTGCGCTCAAAAGCTTGCTATGGTAAATGGCAAGCAGAGCACAAAATGGCTGCCTGTGTCATCAGAACGCGTTTGAAATTCGAGCGAAGCGCACGTGCTGTCACAGAGCAGCGCCCGAGGTAGAGAAAAGAGCGACTAAAAAGAAAACAAGAGGCGCCCCTTACAACTGTTGTCAACAACAAGTGTGTGTATGTGTGCGTAAGTGTGAGTGCAAGATAAGCGCGCGCTCTCGCTCTCTTCACCTGTGCCTGTATGTTAAACTCACCACAGTGCTCAACTAGGGAAGGCTGTGTGCGCTTTTTACAGCGTGTGAAATTATTTGCACACTCACAACGTCTTGGCGAGCACGCGAAGCCAGTTGCTCCTGCGAATTTTAGTGCGAGTGCAAAAGAGAGAGCGCCAAAGCGAGCGCGGATGTGAGTGCGAGTGCAAGAGTGCCATAAAAAAAGTAAACAAACGGCGTAAGGCAGCGTGCAAACAAAAAAGCCAAAGATTGACAAATCCCAAAAAATAATAATAAAAACAAACAGAAGAGCAACAACATTTTACAGCTTTGCTTGCGATTGCTGTAACTGTTGCTAGTCCTACACACACACACACACACACACGCACACACACACACATACACGTATTTGCATATGTTAACATATGTATTTAGCTGACCGCCTGTTAATTTAATATAAATTTTATAGATTTATTCTATTAACGGCTAACAGCGCGGCTCGCTGCTAGGGCCCAGAGGGGCGTCGAGGGGACAGCAGCGACGAAACGTGTCTATTTAAACGAGCAAATTTGGCACTGAAAAAAAAATAAATAAATAATAACAAAGCATATGCAAAAAAAAAAAAAAAAGAAATAATAATAAGCCAAAAAATGATATCGCTTTTTTGAAGCACGCGCCTGCAAAAACAAAAAAAAGAAACAATGATAAATAAAAATTAAAATAAATGCAAATTATTTATATATTCAATCATAAGCGATAAAATGAATAAAAACAACAACAACAACTAATATTAAGCTAATGAACTGTGCCCATAATTAAAATTAAAGCCAATTAAGTGAAATTTGTTTATATTTTTATTGTTTCTGGCATTTGAACATGAAATTCGCGCCACGTGCGTTTGCAAAATTTTAATTTTTCAACAAAATATAAATAAGTTAAAATATTTACAATTATGCAGGTTTTTATTTATGTGCCGTTTGTTTTGACTTTTAAAGCAATTCGAGTATAAATTAAAATTTCCATTCAATAATATTGTATTTACTTTATACGATCTTCAGTTTTTGGCTTGTAAATTTGGCCGTCATTTTAAAATCAATAATAAAAAAGGAGAAAACCCAACAACAACAACTAAATAACTAAAACCAAAAAAATACGTAACCATAAAAGAAGAAAGAAAACGCAACAGCAAAAGAAGCCAGACAGAGCTTAAAGTGTATCAAATGAAGCAACAACAAAAAGAACAACAACCACGAGTCAACCAAAACAACAATAAATTAAACCACCAATTTGTAAGGTGCAACAACTAAGCAACAACAACATCAATAACAACAGCAGCAGCAACAACAAATCCAACAACAACCGAAGCAACAACAAAACATGTCAGAGAACAGCAGCGACAACAATGGCGACCAACAGAGCCAGGGCCAGGGTGCGGAGGGCGAGGCCGTGGGCGAAAACAAAATGAAGTCGCGTCTGCGCAAAGGAGCCCTCAAGAAGAAGAATGTCTTCAATGTCAAGGATCATTGCTTCATCGCACGCTTCTTCAAGCAGCCCACATTCTGTTCTCATTGCAAGGATTTCATCTGGTAAGTTAACTAACCAGCTTTAAGTAAATATAACTGTATTTGGGCACGTTGCGAAATAGATTGGCTAACTTAAAAATGCTTAAACAATCGATGTTCTTAAAATTCCCAACTGGTTTAAGCATCACTGCTAACAAATTAAGCTAAGCGAGATCAGCTTAGAAAGCTTGAAAAAAGTTTTTTTTTTATGCTGTTTCAGTATAGAAACGAACATTTTCGACGAAATTGGAAAAATTAATAGATAATTTATTAAATTCAAGTCTCTAAATCAAAGGAGTTAGGACTCAACGTTTCTATTATTTGATAGAAAAGCTTTCTAAATAATTTTAAAGCCCCTTTTAAACTATGCTCCTAATAATAAATAAATTTATATTTGAATTACTATTCTGTTTTTGGCGACCTTTCCATTTTTTAAATCTTTATATAGTTGGCTCAAGGTCGGGGATTAGTCTGTAAACAACATAAATACTTTTTTTTTGTATTTTGTATTATATATATTTATTATATATCGGAAAAATTTTAATTTAAAACAAAATAGTTTTTCAGTTTTGTTTTTGATAAGCTAAGCCTTGGACCTCGAGCATAAATAAATTTCTTCTGAAGTAAAATTTTTATGTGTAAAAAAAAAACAAACAAAATTTAACCTTAACTTCGAGATTTGTGACAATAAATATTAAGATGTTCAAATTGACTCACCAATTTATCAGCTTTTTTACTCAGTTCGTAGTCTGAAGCAACCGACAAATTTCTAGGCAAGGAAAAGAGAAAAAATTGATATAATTAATATTTTAAGTTAAAAATTCTGAAAATACGCTGATGTGTAAACAAAAACTTTTATTTTGAAACTTAAGTAAGAAACTCTGCAGCGCTCAAAATTTCATTATTCCACATATATTGTCATTTATATACATATATATTATCGCTAAAGCCCCGAAAAAAAAAAACAAACATATAGAGCCCAGCATTTTCCATTTAAGAGGCGCTCAGCTTAAACTAAAACTTTCCCAATTTGAGAGCTTAGGTGCCTTTTGCTATTGCTTGTTTTAAAATTAATGAGAACTGTGGTATATTCTTCGAATTTATGTTTTATGCGGCACACGCGGCACGCGTTCGCACTTGTGGGTCTACGCCGCGGCAGCAAAATCGGCGACATAACTAAGCAGCCTACGTCAATCGATATTTTGCCTATCGACAGAGCGGCGAATGGCAGCAACTACAACAAAAACAGCCACACATTAAAGCCAAGCTAATGACATTGCAATGGAATCCAGTTGAAAAGCTCAGCAAGAGAGAATAATTGATATCGAATCGCCGAAGATTGAATGCCCTACCAAATATGCCAAATATTCATATACTTTATTTTCGATGCAACAGAAGATCCTATATAATATAGTTGGCTGATGTCGATACGATTTGAATTTGGAAGCTCATAAATGTTGATATAATATCATTTATATAGCATAAAAAAATTCGAACCAGCTACCTGCCAACTATATACTGCCTGTACCAAAAAGCCTGATCTATGCTTAGATTCATCCACTTTCTGGGGAATATATGAACTCAGTTATTGATACGGTTCAAGAATATATATGGTCTGCGGACTTCTTCCACATGTGTCACATATTTCATGGCCAAATCGTAATACCCACTGCAAGCGTATAAAAAGGTTTCAGGCACAACAACTTGTAATCTGCCCTGCCAGTGTAATATTTAATTTAGGTAAAGCCCGTTCTCAAAATCTTGCCTAATCTATTGTTATGCATACAAAATAAACACAAGAAATACAAATTTTTCGGTCAACCCCAGCTCCAATTTTGGTTCCTGTTACCTTTCCTGTGGATCTTCCTGCTTACCCGCTTTCCCTTCCGTTCGGCTTGTGGATTATGAACCAATCTCATGCGCATTAGGTTTCAGTTCCCCTTCCAGCTCATAATAATAATTTTTCGACGCCCCGCTTAGAGCGTATTGGTACCGCAAAACCTTAGCAAACATTTGCGTAGTCCGCCAGTGAACCAATAAGTTGCCACTCAACTCTATATAAAAATATTATTGTTTTGTTCTTACAGCGGCTATCAATCGGGATACGCATGGTTGTAGGTATTTCTTACGATATATATATGGAGCATATACATTTTATATTGCTAGTGTATCGCATTGTTATTTCGCATTCAGATATCATATGGGTCTGGTATTGGAATATACAAAAGTATCTTATTAAGATTTAATAGCATTAAATTCAGCTATTGCTAATAAGTTAATAATTCGCAAAGGGTTTAAGCAAAAATATATTGAAATAAATACGTAAGAGCACCAGAGCTTTTGCCCAAAAGCTTATTAAAGTCTTGTTCGGGAGCTGTAAGGCGTAAAGCTTTGAGTGGCATACAAGCTTTCGATCCTGTTGTAGCTTCGATTAACATAAAATCTTGCGATCTATAGCTGTGTGCTTTTGAAGGCTTTTTCATTCCACTTTTTCTGGGGCTTTGAATTTAAATATTAAATTTTCATGGATTTCTCAAAGCCTGCCACATGCTCAAAAAGAAAAACTAATTGATTGTAAATATGCATATTTAAATATTCGGTTAGTTAATTAAAATTAAATGAATTGAAAACAATATTCATAGTTTGGCGACAACTTTGGTAACAGTTTGTCAAGAGTTCGGCTTTCAGTTTAATTAATTCAAATTTAAAATACACAATGTGCTGCGAAAATGTTTGCAAATGTCAAAGGCCTAATCATTGCGCTGACAGTTAAAAGCCACACAATGAAAATGACAAGACAATTAATTGGAAAATGGCTGTTGGGCTCCCGAAGAGCTGGGCACATGTCAACAAGTCTATGGGAGGCTGTGTGTCGCCCAGCATTTGGGGCGTGACGCTGACTCTTAGCTAATTGCCATAAAACATTTAGCCAATAATTAAATTAATTGCTGCTTAAAATGCGGCTCAACGATCTGACTATGACCAAAAAGAAGCCAGACCCAAAACGCAACTGAGCCATGTGAAACTGAGACAACAAAAGCGACAACAGCGACAAGCTGAAAGATACATTTGGCGATACTTACAGATGCGTAGATACTCTGCTGTTGTTGCCGCCTGTTGTCGCCTGTTCTATTGGCCACATTGCGTACGCCTCTTTTGGCCAACAGCAGCTAATTAACAACTTGAGTTACAACTCGCGATTCGTTTCGGGACCCGTTTCGGCTTTTTAATTAATAGTGTTGGCTCTTTGGGTGCACACGTCACAAAAGGCGTTGCAGGCACGTAGCCAACGCAACCAAATGAGGCGCCACAGCAGGCAAGCCAGGTGCGACAACGTGGTACAGGGAGGGGGTAGGGGCGTTTGCCTGTGCGCCCCCAGGTGGCTAACTGTTTTGGGTGTATCAAGTGAAAATTGCCGCCGTGTTTATGCCACGAAATTTGCATAACAGAGCCGAGAAAACAACAAAAATGAAAAAAATAAAACAAAAAGTGATGGGTCGAGTATGACTGATTTGTGGATACCCTGTACCCAGCTTCGAGCTGCTGCAGCGTGAGGTCACACTTATTTCACGCACGACGCAAGCCGCAGTTCTGCTTGAAAAATACATTTTAAAATAATTTCCTATTTATTCATCGACTTAAATTCAATTTATATGGCTCAAGGATGGCATTATACCCATTATTAAGGATATATCTCCAATGAGACAGAAACTTTTAGATCTCATAAATCTGACAAATTTTATTGGCTTAAAAGTGGCATTAAAGTAAAACAAGGCTTAAGCAAACCTATATCTCCAATGAGAGAGAAACTCTCAGATCTTATGGATAGCAATGACCTATACAACTATACATCCTTTCTCTTAATACAATGCAGGGTATTGAAAATATATCAACTCCCAATTCCCGCACGCTGCTTTTTATTTTTGATACACTCAAGGTATATTCCCATCTAAATGCACTCAGGTTAACACGTTTCTTTATGGCTCAGCAGGTGGAGGCGGTTGGCTGTTTTATGTTTTGACCAAATCAGATAACGAAAGTGTTTGCTAACAATTTGTTTATGAAAATGTTTGCAGCAATTTTCCCGATAGCGACTGCATTTGTGAAATTTAAAAGCAAATTCATAAATTGTTAGGTTTTATCTGCGATAAGCAAAATAATATGTCAAATGAAAATTTGATGCATGGGTAATATAAATAACGCAAATGCCAAAAAGGAAGCAAAAAATGTTATCACATTTATTGATTGCGTACAATAAACTGTAATGGCACGAGCTGAAAGCACGGAAATATTCGATAAGTGGAAAGCAGGCAGCAGCATTTGAATAAATAAAGAGCTTTATGATATCAAACCGACGTGCTGGTTCAATCTTTCATAATTTTTAAGATTTAGATAAATAAATGATTTTTTTATTTTAGATTTATGTTAAATTTTGAATGCAAAATATATTTAACATGTCAATAGTTAGTTAATTAAATTTTAGCATGGTTTTGCTTATATTTCGCAAACGGTTTTAGCAAAAATATTATAAGGAGCTTCTGATCAAAAGCTAATTGAATCTTTTAATAGAGTTTTTTAAAGTGTAAAGCTGCGATTGATATCACAGCTTTTTGATCTTCTGATGTAAGGTATGAAGCCTTGATTAATGTAAAAGCTTTCATTCTGAGGCTGTGACAGCGTTTAATGACTTGTAAAGCTTTTCCCAAGGCGTTTTTCCTTTTACAGCAATTTTCTTGATATAATTTTATGTTAAAATACTAATCAAAATGTATATTATTGATGGGAATGTTTTGTTCAATGTCTTTTCTTAAATTTCCGTTACAGTTCCACAAATTCCTTTTTTTTCGAGCAAGAGCTTCAAGACAGTCCATAAGAAAATGCGTTTTTTGTTACTCAGACTAGGTTAATATGGAGACGAAAATTATACTTACAATATATTAATAACTTTTCATAAATTTTCATAATTTCCTGTTTTTAGATGCCTAGCTCTAAATCATTTGGTTAATTTAAAATGCAAGTCACGAGTTCGTAAAGTTTTATCTGCGTAACTTTTTAACTCAATCTTAAATCTCTAGCGCGCACTTTAACGTTTTTGCTTGCGTGTTAAATTAACTCGGATTGCAAACAATTTTCTTCTTTTTTTTCGCTTTGTTTATTTTCTTTTTGTTTGCCGCACATTTTTGTTGTTGTTTTCTTTTTGTTTGCGTGCTGCAGAAATGCGCTTAATTAAAAATTGAAAAATGCAGGAAAAACAAAATGCGCGACAGCGGGAAAACCAGGCAAGGCAACTGCTGATCAAAAAAATTGTAGCATAACTGCAGGCGCGGCGCATGGAAATTGCTTTTCCACTTCATTTGATGCGCAAACAAAAACGCGCATACTGAAAAATGAACAACTGACAAACTGTCGCATTGACAAACATTTGAAATGAGCAAACAAGCGACTCGTAATTAAACTAAAATAGAAATTAATTAATATGTAAACTGAAAAATGTGCCTCGGGAAACAAGCTGTGAAAATTTTGTGTAATTGTCATTTCGGGCTAATCGGATAATATCAATTGCCACGCAGCCGCAATATTATCATTTTATAATGCGTTTAAAATAATGTTTAATTGTTTGTGCAACAAAAATTGCCAAGAATAAACTTTGCTGCGCCAAGCCGAAGTTGAAATACGCTTGTGGCTTATCGTGGCATATCTTACAAAATCCATATTTATAGCCAAAATATACATATGTTCCGGGTTGAACCTAAAATACCCGCTGCCAGTGCATAAGAATGCAAATCGCTGGACACAGCGGCAATGGAGAAAATGGGCATGCGATATACACAGTTTATACCATTATATTTATATATATATATGCCACATGTGCAATCTGTTTGCAGGCTAGCGGATGGGGCTGTAGGGGGCGGGTTAAGGCCTGGGATCAGTCGATAAGCGGCTTGTGGTCAAGGCATTTATGGCTTATGGAATATGCCTAACTCATGCGGGCACTCTTTGCCATCGCCCGCCACATAAGCCCCTTTACAAGCGAACCAGCTCAGCTAACTGGACCCAGGGACGTTGTGCTTAAGCTTAAAAGTGGCCAACACAAATAAGTAAAGCACACACACGTACACACACACACACATATACACACACATGCCTGCAGGCGCAGTGACAAGTGGGAAGAAGAACTGTTAGAGTTGTTTAGTCGGGCCTGCGAGACGAGTAGATACCCTGAGCGCAGCGCTCAGCTGCATTCATCTACTCATACATGCACAAAAACACGCATAAGCGCACACACACACGCAAGCGGCTTGCTGCGCAGCATACGCTGCGGTTGTCCTTAAGCTCAACTCTTTAAGAAATGCAGTCTTGAATAACTTTGGTGCTTAATATGCGATGTGTATGCGATGAAATTTTCAGTGCATAAATATGACATTCAAATGTGCGTTTATCACAAAGCCCAAAACTGTGCCTCGAAAAATGCGCAACTTTGCAATTTTTTAAGAAATTGGAGAACATTTTTAAACTGAGAAATACTCTGAATGTGTGTATACTATACAAGAGGCTACATACCAAATTGTAGGCCTCTTGCTTCGAAGACATTCTCAAAAAACAAGAGTTCGATATCGATTGGTATCGAACATTAATTTTGCATTGCAAATTTCTGTTGTCAATTTTTAATCTAACATGTTAAAATAAAAATTGTTTACAAACTTGATTAAAATTTAATTGACAGTTGCAAATACTTCGTAAAATAATTAAATTGAGCGCCGCAAAAAGGCAAATTTACAGTTCAATATTAATTAAATTGCCGCGGATATTGGATTATGAAATTGCCAAAGTACATTAAAAACAAGGGCAATAAATAAATAAGCGCCGTATCAAATGTAAAAAATTATAAAACATATATATAAGTAAATGCTGTAGATTGTTCAACTTTTTAAATATAAATATATATATTTTTTAACTGGAAATTGTAAAAATATAAGAAATTGTTTCAAATGCATCTCACAACAGCACAAAGCAACCGTCTCTGTCTGCTTGGCCGGAAAGCTTGACCTTTGACCTGTTAAGCGACCCATTTGCTTTTCTATATTAATTATATTGATTGAATTTTATGGCTGGTGACTGGCAAGTGCCTGGCAAAAATTAGCATATTGATTAATAAGTATTTGCTGTGCGGGCAAATTAAATATTTATGCAAAGTGCTTAGCACACACACCCTCAAACACACACACACACAAAGACACCAACACACTTTCACACAAAAGTCAAACAACAGCAATTCAATTAGAGCAAATTAGCAGGCGCCGCATTTTGCGTGTAATTTAACTAATTTCTAACTAATTTCGCATTGGCTTTTTGCAGGGGCTTTGGCAAACAGGGATTCCAGTGTCAAGGTATGTTAATGAACGTGCGATTACAAATACTTAGAGAGAACTATACATAACTTTTAACTCGTTGCAGTCTGCTCTTATGTGGTGCATAAGCGTTGCCATGAATACGTCACCTTTATATGTCCCGGCAAGGATAAGGGCATTGATTCCGTAAGTGCCGCCATATATAACACTCTACTAAACCCAAGCTTAACTTACTTACTAGGTTTTAGCTTTAAGTTGTTTGCTTTTGTACAGCATTTTCATGTGTGCGAATACCAAATTCTTTTATAAACTTATGTTCCTAAAGAAAGTAAACACATTTTATATCCATCTAGCGCTTTTTGGTATTTTGTTTTGTTGCACTGTCAAATTAAACTGTCATTTTGGGGTTTCGTTCAAAAAAAAAAAATAATAAATTCCCGACTCTGCCGTCATGGCTGGGCTCCTGAAGCTCCTGTCAGCTGCTTGGCTTTTGGCTTACCAAAATGTCATTTAGACTTTTTAGCATACCATGAATTTCATATTTGTGCAGCTCCTGCTGACCCGGCTAAGACTTGTCACAGGCGCAGAACCACAACTCGAATTAGATGTCACGACGTTGAGAACAGTGACATTTTAGATGAACTCGTGGCTGAGTTTATTTATGTTAATGACAATAAGATTAACTCTATATGACAGCAAAAAAATTGAAGTACAGTAAATGCAGCTGAGCTTATTATAAAGGGAATTTCGCAAGAGGTTTATTTAATTGCAATGAAGTTTGAGGGTAATATAACATGAGGTTTATGTAATTGCAATGAAGTTTAAGCGGAAGTTTAACATGTGAATTATTTAATTGCAATGAAGTTTGACTGTATTAAACATGGAATAGAAATAAAATTGAATATGTTTAAAAATTGTTAGTACTTAGAGTACTTAGTACTTAAAGTGACTATAGAAAAAGATGGAATCTAAAATGTGTTGAATAAATATAAAATGAGTAATAATTTAGTGAAAAAAGTTAAAAATAAATCGAACTCAAGGTAACTCAAGGAAAATTGAAAGAAAATCCAACTCAAAATTCACACATGCGAATGCTGAAAGTTTGCACAAAAAATAATCAAAGCTTTTGGTTAAGTTAAGCAACTTAATAAATACGTAGAATGCAAATTAAAAAAAAAAAAATAAATAAAATAAAAACAAGCAACAAATATTTAATACTAACCAAAATTTAGACTTAAAGTTAGTTGTGCTTATTGTCCATTCAGCAATGTTTTATTGTCATCGTGCTCTCTGTTTATTTACCATAAATTGTACTTTGTATTTTCATGTACCAAACAAAATATTATCTATCAAAATCACATCGCTCACCAAAAACCAAATATTAAAAAAAAAACTACTCGAAACTGTGGCACGTTACACGCATTAAAATTGATAAACAAAACAAACAAAACAATATTGAAGGACTCACCAAAAACTCAGCACCATTTCGAACCATTTACATACGCAGGACCCACGTTCTGTGACCATTGTGGTTCTCTACTCTATGGCATTTACCATCAGGGTCTAAAATGTTCAGGTAAAGTCAAGACCCCAGTCTAACCTATCTACATACCCGTTTCCAACTCTCTCACTCTCTTTCACTTTCTCTTAATCTTTGCTGCTCTTTTCTAACCTATCCTATCGCTAAGTTTCCGCTCTGTTAATGCGCTGTTAACGCGCTTTTAACCAGCTGTTAGGCCTTTAGAGCTGTCGCTAATTGCTTGCAAACCTTTTAAACTATCTACATTTTACCTTTCCCCCTCTATGTGTGTGTGTGTGCGCGCGTGTGAGGGTATGTGTGTGTGTGTGGTGTGTGCACATATATATTTTAAAATAATTTGTGCGATAAATTAAGTAACTTGCAGACCTAAAAGTTAATTATTTAAAATATTGTACAGATTTGTGTATAGCTTAACTGTTTAGCTGCCCACATATAATGCCTAATCCCAACTACCCATGTATATATCTATCAAATTTATAATACCCAGCCTGACCTAACTGCTTTCTCTGTGTGTGTGTGTAAATTTGTGGTAATTGTTTGTAGTTGGCAGTGTTTGTTTTTTGTCTGCTGGCACGTGTCCAGAGATGTAGCTCCCTGCCCCCACCCCCCCCCACCACCCTGCCAACTGCTAGCAGGCAATTAATTTGCATAATTATGCACAGGACAATGTACAAGTTGTATAGGATACGATACTTATATCTAAATTGTATAGAGTTTTTGAGCCGTAATATAATTAAAATTTCAATGTTTGTGCGGCTGCATGCGGGCCCTCGGCTATGCTGCAGATAAAAGCTAAGCAGAATCTGGTGAAAGTATTATGAAAATATGCAAAATTCTGGCAAACATGGCGCATAATGAGGTTACCAACCCCGAGGGGGCAGCTGCAGATTCTGCTGCTCCTGCTTCTTCTGCTACTTTTGTTGCTGAGCAAATATTTAATGCACTTTCGGCCGCATAAATGCAATGTTTCAACGAAAACTTTTCAGAGAGCTCAACAACAATTGTGCTTTGTCTGTGGCAGCTTTTAGATGTGTGTGGGCGGGAGGGAGGGCGGGTGGGTGAGGTAGGGACTGGGTGCTACACAGCTATGTGTGTGTGTGGGTGTTTGTGAGAGTGTGTGGCCCGAGGGAAATAACTAAAGTTTTTTCAATGGGCTGTTTTAAAGTGTGTTCTCTTGGTGCGATCTCTATCTCTCTCTCCATCTCTTTTAATTTCATTCGTAAACGTTTTATCAAGCGCTTTGGATTTTCGAAATAAAGTTAAGGATCGACGATTCAGGTTCGAATTGAATTCGTTGCAAAGCACGTTTGAAACCTTGACTCAAACACTTATGCCAAACATTGTAAAATGAAATTCTCTGGAGAACTAAGTGCATTGCCCAGTTATTGAAAACGATTTTGATATTTAAGAGGGTTTGCCACTAAAGTGCCAATAAACGTTACCTGTTCTGCTAACCAACAATGGAGAGCCACCCAAAACAATAGGAGAGCACTTCTAGACCCCAAACAGTCTACTAATGATAATTTGCGCAGCCAAAGTCAAATGCTGTCGGAACCTTGGCAAGTGCCCTCATGTTAGGTATTGTGTGTGTGTGTGTGTGTGTGTGTGTGCGGGTGTGTGTGCACTCAGTCGACTCAAACTTGAGGCGGGAAAATCGATGAGGAAAAACTGTAAAAGAAACTTAAAGATGTCATGGCAACTATTTAGCGGGGGCGGATGGTGTGTTTTTCTTCTTCTGTTAATCAACGCGTGAGAAATGTAAGCGGAAATTATGGTTGTGTGTGCGTGTGTGGCGATGTATGGAAGCTATGCAAATTGTATGGCACTTCACATCATAATTTTAACTACATTTGCGACACGTGCTCGATAATTCGGTAAAAGGAGAAAGGCAACTATGCGGCTTCCCGGTCCCAAAGACGGCAGCTAACAATGCGCGCAATTTTATCAATCATGCCCAACCCCACAACGAAGGTAATGTTTGTGTGGGTGTGAGTGTGGGTGTGTGTTGCTGTAATAGAATCCAAGTGCTCAAGTGTTGCCTTTGTGAGCATTTGAATTGCTCCTGTGATTGCAGACAAGCGCGTTGACAACCGCTTTGAGGGCGAAGTTTCTGAATTGACGCCATGCAAGTTGTACGATTTGTGGCATTGTTGTTGCAAATCGGATCAAATATATATTTTATTACGGCAGACAGAAAGGCGACAGTTTGATAAATATAGCAATCAATTTATCAACGGTCGAATGCCCAGCACCTGTTGGTCCTTGCTTTTATTCTTTTTTCTATTTTTTTTTCTATTTGTACATGCTTAACAACTGCGGGGAGGTAATGCGGCTTTGTCACGAAACGTGTGACGCATTAAAAGAGACGAGTATTCGAAAAGATATAGCTATATATAATAAATAAATTATAGCTTGATAAATTATTAAACAACATTTTAAAAAAATAAATAAATAAATGAAAAAATTTGCAAAAAATATATAACTAAATCAAATAAAAATAATAAATAAATAACATAAGAAATAAATAAATAAATGTAAAAATAATGAACTAAATAAAAAATACAAATAATAATAAAATAAGTAAATGAAAGAGATATAAATAATAAATAAATAAGTAAAATAAAAAAAAATGTATATTAAAAAAAAATAAATAATAAAAGCAATAAATAATTAAATACAATCAAATAAACATAAATATTATATAAATCAAATTAGAGAAAAACAAAAAATTAAGAATTAAATGAAAAACATATATTATATAAATATTATTGAAAAATAACGAAAAATATAGAAAAAATTAATAAATAAATAAAATTAAAATACAAAAATAATGTGATAAAAAAAAATGACAAATAATATTAAAGAAATCTCGAAAAGTATGACTATCATATTTATTCTACATCTAAGGGCAGCATTGAGTCCATTTTCTCTTTCCTTTCCCTTTTCTTCTTTCGCACAGTGGTACATAAACTGTTTAAGCTCTTCTAGTTATCATAAAGCTGGCTTTCAATAATAAGATCTTGGCAAAACAGGCTAACATCAGTCTACTGTTTTGAACAGATCTTCCTTGCGAACAGATCCTTATTCGCAGGTGCTTATATATACACTTGCATTCCTACAAGGGTATTAAAATTTCGGTTACCTATTGCCAATTGCTTTTGTACTTTCTTATGCAATTTGTTGCCAAGTTTGCTATTTCGCAATAATTTCCAATTTAATCATATTGAATGCAGGTCCCAAAAGTTTGGGCTACAGCTATGAAAAATCATGCTCATTGTTTGGGGCCAGGTAAACTTGTGCATTTTATTGGCTACACACACACTCAGGTGTGTGTGTTAATTTGTGTACGTTTGCCGAGCGGAAATTGAAAACGAATCTAGTTTGCACCACGCTGTTTGATTTGCTTGATTGGTTTTGCCTCATCTGCCAACTGAGCCGAGTGCGACTCTAGTTGTGTGCCAGTGTGTGTATGTGTGTGTGTGACATGCCTATAACACTGGCACGCCCCTTATCATGCCCGCTGTCATAATAAATGACATGGCAATTTATAAATGCAATCCCAACACTACGACAAAAACTCTCGGCCATGTTATCAGGACATCAATTCTTAATATGCGCATACTTATATGTGTGTGAGTGTGTGGGTGTAGGTGTGTATGTGTGTGTGCTGCGTAGCATCCTTGAATTACTGCAAAATAAGTGCTTAAAACTGGAGTTGGAAAATTGCTGCTAGGCAAAGATATAAAGCGGGCGATAGGTAGATAGAGCACAGGCCCAGCAGACGGGAGCGGGCAGGGGGGACACACCTTGTGTGTGTGGCAGGCTGAGGCGCGCAATAAACAGGCGGCAAATTTGTGAAGTGACAACAGAAAATGTCAAAAAAAAAAAACGACGCGTGATAAATTGTTGCAAATAAATTTATTTTATTTCACTTTGGAAAAAAAAAACTCGCCTGGCACGTGGCAAATGAGCAGCTGCCCCGCCCAGTGAAATGTTATCTAAAAAATGAATAAAATAAAAATACGAAATTGTGCTAAATATGACAGCAAGTCGTGTGTGAGGCCTACGTGACGCAACTGAAAAGTGACCCGTGCAACATGCAATAAATAACTAAATGAGGACTCAGCACAGTTGATGCCACATAATCAGGCATGTTGCGAGCTGATAATTTGGCTTATTTCCGGCACAACCCAAATACATAAATAACAGCACGTGTTTACGAGCATAAAATCCTACTTTAAAGGTCTGCGGAAATAGTTTGTTTAAGTGAACGATTCAATAAATTAATGAATATATAAAACTGGGACATAAACGTAGAATTTATTATAACTAATAAGCTGATTCTTAAGATAGATTTGAAAATCATTTAAGTAAATATTTTGAAAACCCTCCTCTAAATATTCGTATTATTACAATACAATTGCTTACTCCAGCAAAGCCGTAACACACATTTTTGTCCAAAACCATTTGGGAATTCTAATGGAAAAATGTTGTTGGACGCATTTCTTTCTCTCTCTCTCCCTCGTTTCCTCTGTTTGCTGTGTTTCCGTACATCATTCGTGTACTGTAACTGCACGTTTTAGCCAAAATGGTGAACTGCTATTAAAGCGTACAACTCCCGTTTAGACCCAAATGCCACCTGTCGCTGTCGCTGTGGAGCAACTTTATACCCAAGGCTGACAGCAGAGCCATTGGCAATTGAGTTTTACCTTCAAACAACTCGCATACAAATGCATTTAGTGCAAAAGCAAATACACGCTAAACACTATACAGACGCACAGCCTTGGGCGCCCGCCAAAGTATGCAACACTTTTTTGTGTGTGCGGCCCTGCCAGCCGCAGCAAGGACAGCCACAGCACACAAACACCCCAAGCAGAACCCTCGCACAAATACCCTTTTGTGGTCGTCTGTGTGTGTTTATGGGTGTGTGGATGTGTGTGTGCTTTGGCGCTTTGAGCTTTGCACTTGGATCGGCTCCATTTTGTTTGTCGAGCCAGCGAGATAGTCGACTGAGCATTGCTGCAAGCTGTTGAGCC